ACGTACAGTGTGTCTCTTTGTCTGTACTTGACTACAATAAACTCGTACAGTGTATCTCTTTGTTTGTACTCGAAACTCAAAGCAGTGTGTCTCTTTGTCTGTACTTGACTTACAATAAACTCGTACAGTGTATTTCTCGAAGTACGTACCGGTTATATATTTGTACTTGAGCACAGGAAACTCGTAGTACGTACCGGTTATATCTCTGTCTGTAAGAGGGTAAACTCTATGGGAGGGTAATCTATGGGAGAAGTATGAGCAGAGAGAAATATCTACATCAAAATTACTACGCGCATGTAGTAAAATCAATGGTCCAGGTCTGTAGGAATTAGCCAATTCTGTAGGTGTCAACCAAACGAAACGGCCTTTTTCAGGGCCACCACATCCTCCAAAAAGAGATATACCGTACCAAAACAAACTAACTGCAGAACAACTAATGAGGTAAACAACGCGTACACAATGGGGAAAAGTGTTTAATTATATTGCAGCAACATTAAAACAAACTCCATTCTTCCAACTATTCTGAAAAAAGAAAACAGATAACGATTATTAACGATCAAGCTAACAATGATTACCCCCCCCCCCTTACAAAGAAGAGGGTGGTATCGCCCAAACATGGCGACGCATGTGAACGGTAATGAACAATGGAGTACATTTCCAATGAAGTAGCTATTCGCACGTAATGGCGATCAGTGGTACAACTCGCTCAGATCGGTTTAGGGTTACCAAGATGTGTTAAATCAGATCCATTTATTTATCAAAATCATGATAAACGGCACAGATGTAGACAACTCGTTCCGTCACGTATGGGGGGTCCAGGTGACTGGGGTCCAGTTGTCTCGGGGTCCAGTTGTCTGGGGTCCAGTTGTCTTGGGGTCCAGTTGTCTTGGGGTCCAGTTGTCTAGAAACCGTCCCCGCGACGTGGATGGCGGCGTACTCCGACGGTCAGACTGAGGATTATTCATTGTCTGTAATACTTTGTCTTATCAAAATCAATTTCAGTTGTCCTTGTTGTTGTTATTGAACACTCCTGGTGACTATGACTTGAAAATTTGAATTTCTGATTACGTGTCAAACCGAAAGTCAAGACATAATTTCACGTCATAGAAATTTATAGAAATGATTTTAAAATAAATGCATTCATAATAATGAAAAAATTCTAGTGTGACATATGGACAATACTAGTAACTTATAATCTTTGGAAACGTTAAAACATTCCTAATCTATTAAATGTTTGCAATCCTCGCCACATGTTCGTCTATTCTTTTATTACATTGAACTGTTATCAAATAAAAATTATTTCGGCTCGATCCAAACAGAGTTACGATTAAATCAATGCTGTGATGATTATTCTCATGAATATAATATTAATGCACAAATACTTAGCATAATATTATTTATTGTATTTGTATATCTATGCATTTATTTTATAGAATTTTCAAAACACTTACATGCATCAAAATGTGAGAAACTGCATTTGTAATATTATGGTAGTGGCAACACAACAACAATACAAGGCAATAGTGGGCTATAACACTAATGTTGTGCATTTAATTAAATCAGTGTGTGTCTGTTACTTAACATGTGTCCATGGCAGTGTATTTAAATTTCATAACATGCATAGCCATAACGCATGTAGTTTGCTTTGCCTCAAAAATCTACCATAAAGCGTGGGAGTCGTCGCCTGCGCATGCGTCAGATGGCCATAGTGTGTCATTGTTTACAAACAAGCGTCTACCCATGAGCCTTTGTGTTTTTAGCTTGTGTTTTTATCATCGCTTTAGACGCAGGTGTTGACCCTACTGCTTTATACTTTGATTTTATTAGCCTAATACCAAGTAGTTAGAGTCTGCACCATAGCTGCTTTAAAACATGTAACTACAGTAAATAATTTTGTCATTTCTTGTTATTTTAAGTTTACTGGCCTCTTTAGTTACTCACACCTCATTTGGATATCCATACATCACAAGTAAATAGATCTATATACATGTATGTTCTGTTGATGCAATGTCAAATAAATACTGTATAGTGCTGTAAAATCTGTATTAGAAACCGTGGTTTCTATTAAAATGGTACAATGCAACAGAGGGGATGCGGCTTCTATTAGAGCATCTACACATATGAGAAATGATGATTTTTTTGGTTCTCAATTATTCAAAAAGAATGGGTGCGACTTCTATTAGGGATGCGGCTTCTAATACAGATTTTACGGGTAGTACTGTATTTGCTCCATTTGTAGTGTATGTGCTCAGGTGAATGACTTAAGCGTGTCTATGGGCAAAATATGTCATATTTTAATGATACAGTATACAATACATGCAACTTTTTACATGCACTTTTGTTGCGTAAAGAAGTACATGTAGTAATAATATACATTTGTAGTATATTGCATAAACATCATGAAGGGTTTTAGATATCCAGTGGATGCATAGCCCATGATAGATAGGTACTTCTATGAGGTAACCACAGGAATACTACAAAGTAGTATACACTCAGACACTACGTGATCGCATCGATAATCGCTATGTGTCGAACAATGCACATGCTGTGTTGTTTGAATGCAAGTGTTCGAATGTGACCTCAATGATCCTGAACATGTTAATGATGGTGATGTAGTTTACCCCAAATACGGAATAATTTGAAGTTTATTAATTACCGGTACCGGTACTTAATTTGCATATTACCGGTTTTCCAGTGAATTTGTCATGAATGTACTGTTAGATTTCAATAAAACATGATGCACAGGTGTCTTGTGATAATATCCAGATCCATTTACTTTTGGATACCATCAGTGAATATTAATTATCTCATTTTTCAGTACATTTCAATGGAACATAGTTGTCCCAGTGAATATTGTGGATCAGATTTCTTCGACATTTGTGATTCTCGCTCAGCAAATCTATATTGATTTCATATATTCAATTCCCTCAGCACACAGGAGTTATCTCTGAGTGCTTTTTGATTAGAATTTCTTGACTTGCAGCAATGTATATTGACCTAGAATGTGTTTTGTCTTGTTTGCAGTCTCAGCAGATCAGTCCTCAGTTAGCCCTACAGGTGCTTCTACAGTTTGACAAAGCAATCAACAATGCGCTCTCACATCGAGTCAAAAACAGAATTAATTTCAAGGTAAAGTATTTGAAGACCAGACTCTTGTTTTTAACCTTTTCACCACCAGACCTCCTTGTCTGGACTTTTTTCTTAAAATTCTTCAATATTTCTGAATATGAATCTTAATTTTGGAGCCAACAGACAAAATTTGAGTCAGTTTTCAGTTTTTACCTAAAAAAATGGCTATTTTTGTCCTAATCTTCTGAAGGAAAGTGAAGACTATAAACGGGACTATTTTGTGAATTTGTGATGAAAATAGAAATCTGGTGGTGAAAAGGTTGAAGTTCTTCTATTAGTAGAATCCCTATACCATTTTGAGGTCTTGGTACTACCGGTATTATTTGAAATATTTGATGTTTTGAATTCGCAAGATCTACATGTTATTGAAATTGTTTCAAGTTCAAATTTCAATGCTTTTCAACACATCCCAATATTGTAACAATTATTTAAAATCTCATTATGTTATTTGTGTCATTCATGAATCGTGTAAATACGCTTCTGAATTGTCTTTGTACAGATTTGTTGCTGTTCTGATGAAAGAGAGAACCATCAAATGTTTCTCACAATTTAATCATATTCACATTGTAAAATGTTTCACATTATCAGTCAAAATATAGGAATGATATTCAAAATTAAAAAAAATTAGTACATGTGAAAATTTGTATGTTTGTTAGTTTTCTTAAAGTAAGTTTTTTTTTTTTCACATTTAAAAATGTTTTACCAAAAAATGTGCTTCTTCTGACTTTACCTATTATGTTATAAATTATTATCTTATTTCAATGAACTTGGTACATATATTCTTTGGGATAATGTGCATAACGTGATATACATGTATAAGTTGATATCAAAAACCACTCAGCAGATTTCAATGAACTTGGTACATACATGCTCTGAGATAATTTGCATAAGGTGGTATGTACTTGCTCTGAGATAATGTGTAGACCTTATTAGATGATGGTTGAAATGTTTGCATCGAATGACCTGATTTTTATTATATTAAGCCATATCAAGAACCACTCAGCAATTGCTTCAGTAGTTTTTCAGTAAATTTTCATAAATTAGTCCTCGTTCGAAGTTCGAAAACGGGGACTTATAATACAATCTACGTTCGTTCGTCCGTGCGTCCGTGAGTCATATTTCAGAATCATTTGAACCGATTTTGTTCATTCTTAGCATGTGCTTAATACTTTATGTGGGGCATATGCACATGCAGTGCTTTAGCGATTCGATGCAAAATTGTCGACTGGTGCTTTTGTGCGTCCGTTCGTTCGTTCGGAGTCATATTTCAGAATCCTTCGGACCAATTCCATTCATTCTTCGCATGTGTCTAGTCCTTTATGTGAGACATATGCACATGCAGTGTTTTAGCGATTCGATGCAAAATTGTCGACTGGTGCTTCTGTGCGTCCGTCTGTTCGGAGTCATATTTCAGAATCCTTCGGACCGATCCCATTCATTCTTCGCAGTGGTTTAGCGATTCAATTCAAAATCGCCAACTGGCAGCCATCTTGTTTTTAGAAAATGTTGTATTTTGGACATGCTTTGTCAGTTTTCATTCAAACTTGGTACATAGATTATACATGTTAGGATACATGTCGATAACAATTTCTTTCGCAACAATACAATTACGAAGAGTTGCAATTGCTGTATTCCCTATCCCAGAATCTCAAATTCGGTGATTACACATATGTTAACGGCACCAAAAAATGTGGAGTAGGATTCTTCGAATGGTGACAAGATACAGAAACAACACCAGCTATTGACAGTTGAACAGATTTATTGAAACACTATTGAGACACTACAAAAACAACACTTATATACATTCTTAATTTTGGCGGGAAGGATATCTATTACACCGTTATCATTGGTCAGTAAGGATGCGCTATGACTGGCTGTTTTTTACATCCGGCCATATGGGATTGGTCACATAGGGGAGACATATGATTGGGTAAGAGGTTAAAGGTCGCTGAATGCCGAATCCTAAACTGTTACCAAGCTCGGTGATTTTGATTTCCAACATTCTCCGGGGCCTCGAAAATAAACGGAAAATCGAGCTAGAAACAATCAAATAAATCAAAATTGTCGAGTTAATTGTAGAATTAAATGAAACTAAAGTACATAAGCATTGAAAATAATCATTGTAGATATATATGAATCATCGTAGTCATGGAAAACAATGCATACTAAATATAAAGGATATATGCAGTAAATCGATCAGAAATGAATGCATTGAACGTTATAGTAATGCAAATATCGAAAGTCACGAGATAATTAAAAGTTCAGTAACAATGATAAATAAGAGTTCCTATAAATACAAATAATATAGTGTTCACACGTCATGTAACAGTTTGTTACAACGAATTGTAGAAGAGTTCATTTAGATTTGGTTCATGTCCGAGATACGGTATCGTGCAACAACAGCGGCAGTCCGTTTAACATTGTAAGACCCATGTAAAGATTTATTGTAGGGCACCATGGCAACAATCATTCATAATCATAAGATGTATGGTAATGTAATTTTAGTGTCTCATTCCCATCCTCAGACTTGCATTTTCTCAAACATACTTTAAACAATTTTAGCAAGTGCAGTAACATAGACATGCACCTCAATTTGTTTTACTTTCACTTGTGATCTGTGTTTTTCTTTGCTATGTCTTACAACGGGAGGGGTGTCACGCAACACGTGTTTGCATTTGATGTAAATAAACAATCTGTTGTATACGCCACTTGGGACTCAAGTTTCAAAGACACTCTCACGACAACCCCTCAGCTTTAGTATGATGAGCACAAAGAGAACTTTCAAGAATATTTTTGTTAGTTTTAGTTATACCATCTTGTTGTCTTTAATCATTAATTCTTACCGATAATACCGGGTATATACCATAAATAAATTTAGAAACAATATTGGTTTTACCAGTAGTGACCTGTTAATTACTTTACAATATTTTCTCTTGTTCTTGTCAGGGTCATTTAAACACATACAGATTCTGCGATAATGTCTGGACATTTGTTTTGAATGATGTTGAGTTCCGAGAAGTTACAGACCTTGTCAAAGTCGAAAAAGTCAAGATTGTTGCAGTGGACGGCAAAAGTTCCGGTGGAATAGTAGACTAATTATGGAATAATGATTTTGTTATTTATTTTATATTTTAGCACTAGTGACCTAGCTCTGGTTCCTATGGCTCTGTTTTGAATATTTTTTTTCCCATTTTTTTCCCTGTTTTCATGTGCTCCACTTCTCCCGTTGGTTGACGTGTTCAACCGAGGAGTATACTGTAATTGGTTTACATGTTCGTGATATGATACACATATTTTAGGACATGCATGCATGTGGATGTAATTTCATGATACTCCTTGTGAGCCATTGTCTTGAAGATCTCAATGAAATGTTCACGCACAAAATTTTAATTTTTTTTTTCCTTGACTATGACATTTTTCTTTCATGTAAATAAAGCAGTCTACAGTTTATGCAAAATATAACAGCATTTTTGATGAAAACTGTTATATTTTTAATACATTCTAAATGTTTGCAAAACCACCAACAAATAGTTTTGTGAGAAAAATGATTGAAAATTACCTTCCCCTACTTGTTAATATAGTGACTGCGGTTCATTGCTGGAATAGAAATTGAAAATTTTAGTTTTGTATGCGTTAGTCCAGACTCTTTCATGTGAAAACAGAATTAAAGACATCCACCAACACTTATATGATTGCTATTTACATGGACTTTGAGTCATTTTTGCTAGTTTACCATATGAGTGTTAATCAGTGTACACTCCAAGCTTATATTGTTTTGTGACACAGTTTTGTAACCATCCAGGATACCCTAAGATAGTTTTCCGAATGACTTATTCTCATTGATGTGTATGAATCAGAAAAAATATAAATTGGTCAACCACTAGAGCATATAAGACAGTACAGTATGCACATAGGGCAAATTGACAAAGATTTTATAGTTGATGACCAACTCCAGTGGTATAATACACATTTGAATGTATTAGCAATGTATGATGTCACTGCGTTCATTACGACAAAATGCAAATAATACGAGGACACTGGAGGACAAGTACAGCTGAAGATGACCCATTCTGTCAGACTAGTTCGGCTGTATATCTACGGTATAATTGTATGTCATCATCTCACAATTCATGGGACTTCATATTTATTATTACATATGTACTGCAGTTTATTTTGATTCGTCCCTGAAATCAAAATCGGTATTTCCACACCTCGTATGCAAATGAGGTCTGAGAGCAAACAAAGTAGTCCCTTGAGGAGTACCGTTTTTCGAAACATAGCAGAAATAAACAATATTAAGAAGTAGGGTATTTTTCTCTTGGGGTACATGAATATACTTGCCGAGTGAAATGAAATTTGAACAACAGTAATGGTACTTCTAGGCAGTCACTTATTTTGACAAAAACTAATTTGCATATCACCCATGCAATAATGTTTTCGGTATTTTCATGGTCGATATGCAAATGAACATGGTATTTCCTTCGGCTATCGAACTATTTATATTTTGTAAACACATTTTCGTCTGCTATTTTTGTCCGGTTCAAATCGTCAGGCAACATTTTTGGCGTGTTAGATGTACATCACATGGAATACTACGATTGGGAGAACTTAATGTATGTTGACCACCTGGAAACTAAGTTTTAGAAACCTTGAAGGGCTCTCGGCAGATCCACCAGCAGTAAAATCAGCGACTACTATGCAGCCGCAACCATCAGCATCGAGATACCAGGAGGTTTCTGCTGGCGACGTTGTGGCGTTACTGAGTTCCAAATAAAAATTACTAACGCCAAAAGAGCAACATTTTAACCGGTAATCAAGACTCAGTCAATCCACGACCAGCAAGCAACCTCACACACGGAGTTGTAGCGTGCAGCTCAGCGACAACCACTGTCGACGAAAGTCATCCCGTGAAAGTACGGCCGCAGGATACACCGCATCACTTGTGAAAATAACTTCCATACGCAACAAAAGCCACGGGGAGGGTGTGGGGTTCTGTCATAGAACTGTATCGCACTACTTGCATACCCTTACTTTATAAATCTTTCGCATGAAACGACAATGTGTTGTGGATGAAATTATCTTTGTTCCTATTGTGTTGCTTGTATACTTTTGTTAGGGTTTATACAACGAATAATATTTATAATAATATTTTATAGCCTTAGATGTTCAGTGGTAGTTCTACACATTAAAAAATGTAAAAAAAAAAAAAAAAATTAACTACAAGCCCGCTCGTTAGTGGGGAATATGCCAACATGAGTTTTGACTTCAGCGAACATAACAAAAGTTTCGGATTTTGTACAGTTCGTGAGAAATCTCGTTCAACAAAATCCTGAAATCGAATTTAGTGGGCTTGGGTTATTACAACAATGACAATTGTACTTGTTTTGCTGATCAGATACCATGACTTTGTTTTTGTCAAGTAGAGGTTTGCTTCGGTGCTCCAGTATTTCAGGATTTGTTGCCAAATTAAATGATTTTCTATGGTGATTACATCATAATCACCAGTTGTATGCATACGAAAATACAATGTGGGAATAAATGTTTTTGTTACCAACTAAACACATCCTGTGGTTATGTTTACAGTGTAGGTGGCTGGAAAATAAAATTTTGCTGAAGCAAAAAAAACATTTTTTTTTTTCTGCTACGAGTTTTGACCTGGGTGCAACATGCACTAAATTACTGTCAGTGACGTTTTCCACAATCACCAAAGATTACATAAAGCTTGGTAACATCTCAGTATGTTCTCGTCGATCTGCGGCAGGGACAGTTGCCATCTTTGTTCAAATGAGTCCGCCCATACATGGTGTGACAATCACCTCCCTTTAACAAATGCTGTAACATGATAATTGGCTGTATGAAAAGAGGAGGTAATTGTGTTAGTAAATAAACTGGTTGGAATAATATTATGACCTTTGTTATGTCGTGTCCATAAGGATAGTGTGGAGAAGTGTTCAATTTAGGATACAGAAGGTGTAGTAGGTACGGCCACGGTGCTTTGTTTTACCGGCACACTGGTCTGCTCGTAAAATGCTTCAGTTCATTTCCACTTTGCCATTGCTGACTTTTTAAAATCAAAATTGATAGTTTCTGAGCATTGTTCTTTTTAGATACATAGAGACAATATCATTTTCTTCCTAATGTCAATTGCTTAATGTTCAAAAACTTACATTACACATTTACAGGCCTTTAATATACTTTTCGGCATGGATAATAAATTGTTTTCTAGAGGTTAATACAATCCTGCATCGCCTCAAATGAAATGAAATAAAATAATTTGACCAATCGGGTCTCAACTTTTTCTATGACTCAAACTGAGACAATTTCAAATTCCATATTACCATTACATTATAAATGTCACGTGTTTCACTATTATGTTCAACGCAAATTCAAATTATTTCACACTTCGTAAATATGTATATTTCAGCAGATACATTCTCTTCACATTTTGAATGACAATCTGCATTTCCACAAGATAAAATGAATGAAACTTGCGTTATTGTCGATAGAGGGCGCTACCACAAATAATTATGTTATTCGTTTATGCGACAACTAGAGGGTTTGAAAGGCGAGTAAAACACGTTAGTGCCCATAGTGGTTTGAATGTGGATTTTCCTAATTTAAAGATTTGCTTCAGTCAATGTCATTCCAGATCCCATCCGTCAAGGACTTTATAGTTGGGAGGTACTTGGAAATTGTGTTGTTCAATAATTAAAAGGCAGTGGTCGTCGCGCAGCGCACGTTCGAATTTCATGTAAACAAACGATGTATTTTATACGCGTTGTGTACGTCGCTACGAGTCCCATATCAAACAGGACGCGACACGACGACCACCGCCCTTGAATTCATAACTATGCATCAGCTACTACTAATCAATTGCTTCGCCCTCTGGTGAAGACTCAATTGAGCACGAAGTTGACCATGGTCATTATGTAACTACCTCTAACAAACCAACCAAAGTTAGTGATTTGGGACCATCCCCAATATCAGTGGGGGAAATCCAGTATATGCATTACTGTAGTGCCCCTTCCCCGGTAGAGCTTTGAATGAATATGCTACACAAAATCTTTTCAAATATCAGATTTGAAGGCTGCATTGCATAGTATTTGTCTTCATTATTATATGGAGAAGGTATATTTAAAAAGGGGTTACCACTCTTACCGCAACTGGTCTTACCATGATGGTTATATTTGCATATATAATACCAGAATACCTTTTCATGCTAAATGCTTCCCATAATTTGTAATGTAATTATAGATATTTTAATCCTCAACATTGTCTACTTGATGATTTCCTACTTTTCAATCAGCCCTTACTACTCTTATTTTTACTTAGGCAACAGTTGGAAAAAAGTTGAGAGCCCCGCGAAAAAAAGCCAACCCACTGAGTTGTTCTAACTAAGCATAAACACATCGAATTTCATCAAATTTTGCAGGAGTTTTCTTTTTAAAAAAGGCGAGCAACTAAGCGCCAACTGAAATGCAAATTCAATCACGAGTCTTGGGGGAAATATTCAGTGGTGCCTCCACTTCCTACTGTATTTTTTGATCATCATTCTTTTTAATATCATCTAATTCCAGAGACATCAATGGCTCTGGAATTTCTTCGTTCTGTCTTTCTTGGCAGCTTATAAATGCTGGTCTCATTGCTGGGCAAATAAATGGCCATTCTTAACAAGGAAACCTCACTGGTCGTGCAGTCTTTAAGTAAGATTTGAGTGCTGTTGAATTACTTCAATATTAAATTCAGAGCACTGTGGTAAGTTCACACATGGCAAGCACTCGTGAGATGCCATTCTGTTCTATTCCGCAGAATTAAATTTCTAGGTACGGTGGTCTAACAGCAACATCAGCTTTTAGTACCTATACTACGCATTGCTCCGCATTCACTCTACGCTACCACTTTTGACAGCTCTCACCTCTACCAATGAAGCAAGTGATTTGCCAACTTGACCCACCCTTCTTCCCACAAATTTCCCGGGTCACTTTTAGCGCAGACTATCTGTATCATATCTCTAGGTCTCCCGCCTCAGTGAGTACTTGGGCACAGTGTCGGGCGTGGGGCTACTTGGGCAATATGCAATTAGATTCTAGGAGAATTGTTTTGTGTTATTGATGATTAGTAGAGCACAGTATATTTAGATTACTTAGACAGGTTGATTTCCAATTCCAACATTTATCTAGCTTCACTGATAACCTTCTTATCCCTAACTACTTTCCTCTTGTTGGGGTCTGTTTGGGGGGGGGGGCATATAGTGGCTTCTGCGCATATGAATAAAATTATGGTCAGCAGTCTCTGACCTCTAAACTATATTCTCTGTTTCAAGTCTCGTTGATTTGACCTATTTTAAAGGTCGGTAGTCGTCGAGCCGCGCATGTGCGACATTTATGTTGACAAACATTGATTTTCCCACAATCCAATGCGCTCTTCTAATGGAGATTACAAGTATAAGGTTTGACCTGGACACAACTTGAACTAATTACCGCCGGTGACTCCTTCGATACATTCCAATCACCTAAAAAATACCTAATTGAAGCTTGGTAACTTCTCCTCAGTTTGTACTCGTTGATCTGCGCAATAGCCAAAGTCGCCATCTTTGTTTATATGAGACCCATCTATCTCGCGCATGCGTGGCGCGACGACTACCGCACTTTAAACAAGACGAGTTTCAGTCCAATTACACTAAGCAATTTAGACAGACTTTA